GCGCGGGTGCCAGCCGGCGGCCCCCCTCCTTAAAGGACCAGCTGGGCTTCCCCGCCGTGCGGGATGGCGCCGGCTCGGACCTGGGACTGCTGACCGGCGCTCGCACCCCCGGGGCTGCTGGCTTCTGACATTGGGTCCCTGGGGACACAGAGCATTAAAACGTCGAGAGAGGAACCAGCACAGGGGGGCCTTGAAAGCACCCGCTCTGTCTCCGCAGACCCGTGACTACAGTTGTGCTGACAGAGGGCCCCAGTCTATCATGACGACCTTGTAACCGGGATTTGGTGAGGGACCCCTGGGCACCCCCGCTCAGCCGCTCCCTGAGGCAGGACTGGAGTGGCGAGCACGGCGGGGCTTTATCCTCTGCTCCCGCCTGGAGGCCAGTGCCGGCTGCCTCCCCCGCAGCCATGAGCCCCCAAGGGCAGGGCCGGGGCCGGGCACCCCCCGCCCCCAGTACCCGCCCCGCAGACGGCTCGTCCAAGGTGCTGGAGCCCACAGACAGGCTGCTTCAAGCTGCGTGCTGGAGGGCTGAGTCCGAAAGAAAAGCAGAGCCACCCGGTGGGAGGTGGGGCCCCGGGGACCAGGCCCCCTGCCCCTGCCCGGTGCCGCCGCCTCCAGCCCCGCCAGGTTCCAGCCTTTACAACGACCACCCTGTGGCAGACAGCACCCCTCATCGGAAGACCACTGGGCGACCCACAGACCTTTCCCCTCATCCCTCCTTTCTCCTGGACCTGCCTCCCCAGGACCCACTGCCTCCTGACCTCCTGGCCCATTTGGACTTCAGCTTTGTTGCTGGATACAGCTCCACTGCATGCAACTTCAAGCAAATGAAGTGAGGCCATCTTACTCCTCCAAGGCCTGAGGAGGTTTGCCAGGGACACACGCATGTCAAGGAAGACAGACAAGAGATGGGAAAGCAAAGCCAGCCCCAGGGATGGAGTTGGGAAGCCAGCAGAGCGACCATGTGGCCGGCCCTGAGGGCAGTGCTGAGCTTACTGGCAGCCAGGGCGAAAAGGGAAACGTGACTGAAAAGAGGTCTTCCTGTTCAAGAGAGAAGCCTTCTGTGGCCTCGTTTACTGGAGGGTCCTCACGCCCAGGCCTGGAGGGACAGGCACTGAGGAAGGTGCAGCCCACCCTTCGTCTGAGGCTCTGCGTGAAAGCTGTGAGAGGAGCCTGCTGCGGGGTCAGCTCGTGGGTATTTACCTGTCAGCAGGGAGGAGCCTGGGAGCCGAAGCCCTGCCCAGGGAGCGAGGGCCGCCTGGAGGGTTGGGGATTGGACGTTTCGAGGCAGAAGACTCTTGGACCCCTGGTCTGGAGAGCCTGGGCAGACTGCGGCGCCACCCGGGAGTGAGGGGCCCTGGATGAACCTGGAGGTGACAGCGGTCATTGTGGCTCTGGCCCCCGGGGGGCTACTGTAAGGGCTGCGGGTCCACCTGCAGGATGTCAGTGGGCAGGCTGGCTTCGGGCCCCGCCTGGACGCTAACTGACTGAGGCCTCGGACAACTCCTGCCCCGCCCAGGCCCCTGGGTCCCACACCTCTGGCTCGCTCTAAGTCATGCCTGGGGACACGGGGCACACCTGCCCAAACGGCCTCCCTCGACCCTCGCCCACCACCACCCCCTCCTTTCCGTGGACCTCACGCCCCATGCGGTTCTCCCAGGGCTGTTTACACAAGGGGAGAGCCAGCCTGGTGTGGCGAGTCCTTGTCTCCTGAGCCCGCACGGTGACGCCGGGGACGCAAGGCCAGACCAGATGCCTTCTTCTCCTCCCCCTGGCAGGGCAGGCTCTCCAGCCCCATCGGCTTGGTGGTTCTAGACGTCCCCTTTGCCCGCCTGCCTCCCCCCATGACAGCTTTACTCTTCTCACCTCAAGTGCATTTTCTCTCTAAAAAATTGCTCTGTGTCTTCACATTTGGAAGGGAAACACCCGTGCGTGCCAGGCAGGCGTGGGACGGTCCCCGGATGCTCTCAGCCCCCTCCTTTTGCCTGAAGGTCTGGGGCGGGGTCTGGACTGAGTGGAGCCCCCAGTTCCCCAGCTACAGCCGGGCATGGTCCGTGGGTGCCAACGACTCTGGGACAGAGGCGAAAGGTCTGCTCTGACCCAGCCACATTCCGGGCTGCAGCCTGGAGGCAGCCTCTCCGAGGTGGGGCCCAGCAGTCCAGGCGTCCCACCTCCCGGAGTCCTGGTGTGGCTCCGGCCTGTCCTGGGAGCTGGGGGGCCGCCCTCCCCAGCTCCAGGGGTCCTGAGCAGTGTCGGCACTTGAAGGCTGGACATCTGTGCCAGGGGCTGTGGGAACAACAGCAGCCACGTCCCTTGGGAGCTGGGGCCTGAACCCTCCGGCCACTCCTAGGGGTAGGCACTGGTGGGGGCTGTGGGAACCGGGACAGCCCAGGGGCCTCGGGGCAGACAGGCCTGTGTGGGCCACCAAGTGGCTGCCTCCCCGCGTCTCCGTTTCCTCCCTGGAGGGGACAGCGGCTTGCCCAGCGGCCTCCAGGCTGGGGCAGACCGTACAGTGGGGCACAGTTGAGGACCTAGCAGCACCCCTGTTGGGGAGATGGAGGGGCTCCTCCCAGGAGACGCAGGACACGGAGAGGCACAGCAGATCCCGCAGGGCAGGCCACCCCGCCACCGCCGTCTGCCCTGTGCCTGTGTCTTGGGCCCCAGGGCCAGCCTGGGACGAGCAGAGGCTGCTGTAACAGGCCTCCTCCTCCCTGGCCGCAGCAGGCCTCTAATGGGGCAGTGCTGTGTCCCGGCCAGGCCACCCACGCACAGGGCTCCCTCCCGGCACTGCTCAGTGTCCCCTCCCCTAACCAGGTGGCGTGGGACCCTGGCTCTGGAGCCAGCTGGGCACTGTCCCTCAGATGCATTTCCAAGGCAGGGACGCTCAGCTTCAGACCAGGCAGACGGACTCTTCTGGGGCCTAAGAAAATCAGAAAAGCAGAGCTCCTCCTGAGCCTCTCCCCTCCCCACGTGCTTCTCACAGCGGGGCCAGCGCCCGCACGGGGGCCCTTCCAGGCAGGGACTGCCCCCAGTTCCAGGAGACGGGCTCTCTCCCCTCTGGCCTGGCCACCCTGGTGACCCTGGAAATGAGCACCACGGAGCAAGGATCCTCCTCGTCTGTCTCTGGAGCCCTGACCCCTGGTCCTCTCCAGCTCCGCCTGGAGGATGCGTCCGCTCTTGGCTGTCAGCCGGCGGGATCTTTCTAGAACACAGATCCCACCGCGTCACTTGGGTCCTGCACAAGCTTCCACGTCTCCCGCTCGTCCTCCGGAGGATGTCCAGGGGAACCCGGGGACCCCACCTGGGCTGCCTTCCTGTCCCCGCTCTCCCTGCTATGGCCACACCTCTGCCCCTTGGCGTAAGCCCCATTGACAGCGTCCCTGCCTCCCTGTCCGCCCATCACGCTGCACTCTCCTCCACGTCCAGCTCAGCTGTCCCTTCCCTGGATCTCCTGTCCTCGACAGAGACCCCGCCCCCGGCCCACAGCCATCTCACCCTCCACAGCACCTGCTTTCACTTCCTCTCCCCACTTCACTTCACCTGCCGTGGTTCCCGGGGGCCCAGATGTGCGGGGCCAGGCCGTCTGGCCTTCCTGCTCCACACGGGCTGCTGCACTGCAGTCCCGTCGAGGGCAGAGGCAGTGGTCCGGGGGCCTCAGGCTGAGGGTCACGGAGGACTTTGGGACACGCCGCGAAGAACCCCCGCCACGTGGACACGTCTGCTCTCCCGGCCTCGTTTCCAGGGGTGTGAACCAGAGTGGGCCTGGGGCTGGGGGGGTGGGGGTTGGAGGGCCGTGGCCAGGAAGCCCGTAGTGAGCCGCGTACTCACGTCATCACCATGCTGGTGAACCAGCCAGCGCCACCCAGATCCCGTCCCAGTGGCGCTGGGACCTCGGGAAACCTCTCAGCCTCAGGAACGTTCTGGGGCCGGGCCCTGCGCTTGCCCACGAAGGCCTCTGGCTGTGGTTCTCAGCCCAGCCCTGGGAGGTGGGGGCGTGAACCTGGCGCGGACGAGAGGCCACCCCCGGCGACCGTGGTCCCAGCGGCCGTGCCCCTCCACTGTGGGTGTCTGAGGCCCTGAGGGGGGCAGGGCCCTTGCTGATGGTCACTCTTGTGCCAGGGTGGGCGCCCGTCTTCCCAGACCCGGGGAACCTCTCATGGCTCATCTCCAGGGCCTCTGCACAGCCCTCACCGTGGGTGTCTGTTTACTCCTGTCCCTGTGGTGGTGTCCCGGGGGACGTTCCAGGAGCACCCAGGCACCCTGCTCCTGGGACACAATCTTCCTCTCTGAGGCCTCTCCTCCTGCCCCGCTACCCCCAGGGGAGCCCAGGGCCTGCGCTGGGGGTGAGGAGTGTGTCCAGGGCCTCGAGGAGGAGGGGCTGTGGATTCTGGGCTGGACCCTGGCCCTGCCCGGGGCTTCCTGACTCCTTCTTCTTGGCTGCACAGCTCCCTGGACCTGCCCCTATTCCTTCCCCAACTCCCCACCACTGTCAGTCCTCACTCCTCTCTCCCAGCCTCCTCCTCAGTCTTGCCCACCTTCCCAGTGCCCTGGAAGCTCACCTACCCGGTCTCAGCCTGCCATGGCCCAGTGACCCCGGCCTGGAAGTGGGGCGCCCATCTCGGCTGGGCCCAGGGAGTGAATGTGTTCTCCAGCTGGCCTTGTGCTCAGCCTGCCTGGTCGGTGCCGGTGGGGGTATGAGGGTGGGGCACCTGGGAGCTTTGTGGGTGACCACTCTTGGCAATGCCAACACAGGCAGTGACACACTGCTTGGTTTCCGAGTCACCGAGTCACTGTGATGGAGGGAAAGCAGGTTTGTGGCAAGTCCACAGGAGTCGGACACTGCTGGTAGCAATTTGCAAGAAGGTGGGGGACCCTAATTTTCCCCCAGAGCATGCACACCCACGCCTCTGAGGCTGGCCTCCTGCGTGGCCCCACTGGGGCTGTTCCCACAAGTGTCGATGTCCCCATTCAGCAGGCAGGTAAACTGAGGCCCAGGCAGACTCACAGGAGAGTGTCTGGGCTGCAGCCACCTGCCCAGGGCTTGGGCCTCGAGCTCCCGGGGTTACCTCTAAGGACTATTCATCCTGTGGGTACCTTGGGCCTAACTGGCTGCACACCCTCCTGCCCTGGACCCTTCCCCGCAAGCTGCTGTGTCCCCAGAAAAGGTTCGGCCTGTGGGGTCCCCGGGGAGTTTGTGCCGGAGCTGGAGTTGGCCCGGGGGCATTTTGCCCTCAACACACTCCCCCTGAGCGTTGGTGCCTGGCCGTTGCGGTGAGACCGCGGGGGTGTTTCCTCCGCCTGTTTCTGATTTATTCACACAAAGCTCGTCAGCAGCCCGTCCCCCACCTGACGGCCGAGCTCCATCTTCTAGCTGGGAAGCAGGAAGCTGTAGTTCTGCCAGGAGAAACTAAAGCATCGGCCTCGGGCCGTCTCCCGGATGCTGACCTCTGGGTTCAAGTGGCCTCAGGGTTAGATCAGGGCCCCCCCTGCCCGGCCCCCAGAAGGAGGCGGGGGTCAGGGAGAGGGGTGCAGAGCGGGGCAGGGGTCTGGGCTCTGCCGGGGCTCCTGCGGAGCCCGCTGGCCACTCGGGGCTGAGTGCAGTCATCCGAACGAGGTGTGGTCATTGAACAGCCCCGGGTGCCCCGGCCCCAAAGCAAGGCCGAGCCCAGGGATGTGTCCCTGGGTGCTGCGGCTGTGTGTCTTCCTGTTTGCCTGCGTCGCTGTGCGTTGCCGTGGGCGTCCCCCGGCGCACGGAGGGTGGCCAGAGCGGGGCCCCCAGGGAGGCTGGCGGTGGCCTCCGGTCTTAGCCCTCAGGTGTGGAGTCCGGGAGCAGAAACAAATGTTACCTGTGCATTGCAGACGGGAGGTCAGGCTCAGGGCGGCGAGGTGACCTGCAACGGGGCATAGGGCGGGCTCGGCGCAAGAGCACAGGGTTCCACAGGAGAAGGGGCGATGTGACCGAGGGGCTCCTGGTGGCTGGGGATGTCCCCATGGCGGTGGGGGAGCTCTGTGGTGCGCCCTCTGGATGGGTTCTAGGGAAGAAGGGCTGAGTCCCGGCGCCTTGTGCCCCCTCATCCCCCACATCGCGGGCTGTTCTGGCCCAGTGGGCAGAACCCCCAGGTGCGGGATTCAAATCCCACTGCCGCCTCCCAGTCCCCATTGATTGGCTGGCTGCTGCCGCCCTTCTGAGGAAGGACACGGGCTCAGCGAGGTTGAGGGTCCAGCCCAGGGACCCTTCAGCCGGTGGGGGGGGGCTTGCCCTCCATGGAGGGCTGCCAGCTGCTGGCCCTTCCTGGTCTCCACCCCCGCCCCCTCCGTCCCACACTCCCTAACTGACGGTGGCTGGGGAGGACCCTCTCTGGACGGTAGGCATCCGGGAGAGGCACGGGCCCGAGTGTGACTGTTCCCAGGCAGGATCTTCTCCCCGGTGGGGGTGGCAGGGAGGGGCTGCGGGGTGGGTCTGACCAGGCCTCCACCCCCAGAGGAGCCCTCCCCCTCCAACTGGGCAGCTGCTTTCTCCCCAGGGTCTGCCCCTGCTGCACCCTCCTGGAGCGGCGGCTCGGGTCCGGCCCTCTCCGCACCAGGCCCTGGGCTGTCGGCCCCAGGAAGCAGCATTCTAGGTGTTCTGGGTGGGGCTCCAGCAGGGACAACTTCCTCTGGCTGGAGGGCTGGCGAGCCCAGCTGGGTTATCACTCTGCCTCAGTTTCCCCTGTGACATGGGGATCGGCAGCCCCCATCATCTGTGCCCCAGGGCCGAGGGGTTGGAGTCAGAGACAAACCTGCTACACTCCCGGGACAGCGTCCCGACAGGCCAGCATCCCGACAGGCCAGCATCCCAGGCGGGACACAAGGGCCCTGGAGACAGAGAACGCCCCCCGGCTCTAATCCTGAACTTCAGTCCCACGCAAGGCGAAGCCAGCTCACTGTCCAGGGAGTACGCTGTGGCCATGGCCGGCCCCCAGGCGGCTGCCACGGTGCAGGCAGCCGTCAGCGCCGTTCCTGGTTTGGAGACTTCATTTTATTTATTTAGTTTATTATTTAAATTGTTTTTCTTTAAAAATTTTTTTTAAAAAGTGAAAGAGTGGAGTAGGGGCTTCTTCCCGAACCACCTGCGGGTGGAGCTTGGGCAAGTCCTACCCCCACCCTGCCAGGCCCTCCCAGGCCGGGCTGCCCGCTCACGGGGATCCCACGGAGCCCTTTCCACGTTCCTCCTGACCTCACTGTGGTTTCCACTCGGCCACGGAACCAGCCCCCCCCAGGAGGACCGTGCGCCCTCACCTGTCCTGATTTCCCTCTGCTGCTGTGCCTTTGAGGTCTGTGCGGGGTTACAGGCAGGGCACTTGTGGGGGAGCTGGGGCGCCCTCCTCCTGGGTGGGCAGGGGCTGAGAGTGCAGAGCCTGGGGAGCCCCCGAGTCACGAGTGAGCCGAACCGACGAGCCAGGCTCCAGGGAGCGGCAGGGCTGAACTAGACCGCAAGCCGCGAGGGACTCCAACCGAGGGGGAGCGCCACTCCTAGCTTCCGGCTCCGCTCAGCTCAGGGACGGTGAATCAGGCGCCTGCCGCATGCGGGACTTGGATCAGCATCGCCCAAGTGCAGGCTCCGTACGGGCGGCGCCAGAAGGGGGGCCCAGGGGGCCACAGAGCGCAGCACGGAAGAGAGGACCTCCGCTGGGACCGAGGCGGGGTTCGGCAGTGACGAGCCCCCTGGACAGCACGCACCCCGCCTCACCTCCGGGGTCCTCCTCCCCAAGCCCATCGTCCGCCCCCTTTAAGGGACATCTGCAGAAACCCGGCCAGCCCTCCTCAAAGCTGCTCGGCTGGCCAGAGTGAGGAAAGTCTGAGAAACCAGCCCAGCTCGGAGGGGCCCGAGGAGACGCGACGCCCGAACGCCACGCGGGCCCTGGGGCCCTGGGACAGAGAAGGACGTTAGGGGACACTGAGCAAGTGTGTCGCCGTTGGCTGACCCATCGTAACCGACGCCCCACGCGGACGCCGGGTGCCAGCGATCGGGGGAGCTAGGTGCCGGGAGGTGGGGGTTCTCTGGGCAGCCGCCTCAGGCTTGCTGCAGATCTTCAACGAGTCTATAAAAATAAGGTTTACCAACAAAAAGGAGGTTCCAGAGCCCAGAACATGTCAGGGGGTGGCGCCTGGCGGGGGCAAGGCCCTGCAGCCCTGTCCCAACACAGCTCACGTCGCCGAGGGATTCTGCGGGGAAGGCCGTGCCCCTTTGCCTGACCCCGATTCCTGCCCTTGTTTGTCTGTTGAATGCCTTCCGCACATGGAAGCCCCACCAACACGCTGACAGCCGGTCCTCCGAGCCGCGTTTGGTGAGCAGCCCCGGACGGGGTGTTGGGGCATTGTGATCAGCTGGGCCCCCCTCCCCTGTCCCGGCCCTTCCAGGTGGGCAGAAGGGCGGGCAGCCCCCATGGGGGTCAGCCCTGCCCCATCCCGCCCCTTCCTCTGTGTTCGTGCTGGCTGGGCTCGGCGGCAGGGGAGGGCGAGGCTCGGGAGGGAGGGTTTTGGACACAGACGGACTGGAATCAGAATCTCGGGGGAGACCTTGGTAAGGACCCAGCTCTCTGCTTAGCATTTTACCCGTGTCCTCAGATTGAATTTTCACGTCCTAGTGAGGCCAGTGTGACTGTCCCCACCTTTCAGGTGTACAAAGCTGTGGCAGTGGTGGCAGGACTGGGAGTCCCAGCCAGGTCGCTCCAACTCAGAAGCCCAGGCTCTCAGCCAGTTCTCCCTGCCCCTCTTGGGCAGAAACAGCATCTTCCCAGACGCAGTGAAAACACCCAGTGGCCACGTGCCCGTGTGTTAACTGCATCCTCTCCGGGGCGTGGGGCTGGTGGGGCAGCGACACGCTGTAATTCACACACTGGGACTTGCTCAAACTTATTTATTGTTGTTTTTACAGTGCGCATGTATTTCCTTTATCATCGGAAACAGTCGTTCCACTGGGGGAAGGATGTTTGAGTCAGCCCGAGGCAGTGGGGAGGGAAAAGGCCCTCTTTCCATCCCCTCCCTGCAAGAGGGTTTCAGAAATCCACCCCCTGGAATTTCTGTTCTTAGGGGGAAGCTTGAAACTCAACAAGAGCATCTCTGTCCCTCTGGGCTTGCTGCCCGAGCCGGCTCTCTGGAGCATGGGGCAGGCGGGGCTGTGAGTCCCACACACCCATCCCAGAGGGATAAAGAGTGCCGCCCGCAGGCGTCAGCTCCCCTCCTGCACGCTGCTCTTAACCATCCCGAGTGCTTCCAGCGTTCGTGTCTCCAGGCCACTGGATATCCCAGTGGCCCACAAAGGACAGTATTAGTGACCCCACTTACGGGTCGAGGAAGCCAGGACAAGGCGAGAGAGCATCCAGGCTGGGGGGCGGGAGGCCTGGGTGCTACTCTCTGCCTGGCCGTAAGCTTGCTGGGCGACCCCAGGTGAGAATGGCAGGTTGAGGGTTCTGAGCTGTTATCCAGTTGTCAGCCACCAGGGGCCAGGCAGGACACCAGAGCTCACGGCAGGTGGCTCACAGAGAGAACTGAGTGTAGGGAACCAGTCCCAAAGGTGCTGGAAGGGCAGAAAGGCCAGGCAGGAGGGAGAGGAGGTCTGCAGGGGCCAAGGTGTTCCTGGGGTCCCCCATGGTCTCCCATGGAAGACGGGGCCACCTGGCTGTGATGCACTGCCCAAATCCCCATGGCAGGGTGGAGGTGCCCATTTTCCAAGCTGCTGGGATTGGTGCCTGCCGATGTCCTGGAGCTGAGCACTTCTCCAGAATTGCCTCATCTGAAAAGGGCTGACCCGCCCAAGTTTAAGCCTGGTGGGCAAGGCAGCATGAAGTCCCAGTGCCCTGGAAACTGGAAGTGACACCACAGAGCACATTTTAAAATGGATTTTGGAACCGGGCAGCGGCGCAGGTGAAGTAGGGACAGATCCTGGCATGTGATGGTGGTGCAGCCATTGAGACTTTACCTGGTGGGGAGGTGGGGTGGAGCACTGCGCTGGTGGGTGCAACGCTTCAAGTGTTTGAGATCTGGGGGGAGAAGTGGTGATTATAAGGACTATGGGTCTGGATGCGATTACTGGCTACTGTCAGTGGACGGGAGAAGCATGGTGAGGGCCTGGGATGAAGTGTGGGGTGCTGCCAGCAAAAATGGTGGAGAAGGAATTCTAACTCTGCCCTCTTATAAAGCAGCTTTAAAAGGGACAAACATTGTAAGCAACCACTTTTTCTCCCCCAGAACACTAGGAGTCACCCAAAGGCTTGCAGCAGCCCCGGGAATGCTTACTTGAGGGAAACAGCTAATTCTCAGTGAGTGCAGTTCATCCGATGGCCTGTTAACCCAGTCCCCCCACTGCTCTTCAGCTCGGCAGTGGCTGTGAGAATAACAGCCCACGTTCCCAATACTGGAGAAAGCAGAACAGGCCTCATGCACAGAGTCCTGACTAATTATGTGTTCTGACTCGTCTTGTGCTCTCTGGAAGGCCAGCTCCAAAGCTTGTCTGCATTTCGCCTCCCTCAGAGTTGGCCTAGGGCTCGAGGTGTATGCTGGGGCAGTTACTGAGCACAGTTTCTGAGCTCTGCTTGAGGTGACAGAGAACAGCTGGGCAAACAACAGACTAATCACAAAGTCTGGGAGGAAAGGCTGGGAACGAGATGCCCCCAAGGGGTTTGGAGAGCTTGGACTCGCTCCTAGGGATCTAAGAGGCAAAGCACGCTTCCTCAGGAGAGGCCGAGCAGGCCCCGAGCTCTTGCCTCCTGCTGGCACTCTCTGCAGAGGCAGGAAGTGAAGGCTAAGGCAGAGTTGGAAGCTGCCTGGCTCAGTGTTGATGGCTTGGCCCCAGAGCCCTTTGGCAAAGACTGGAAAGTCCCCCCCCCCAGGCCCTTAAGGAAATCTTTGTCCATCAGTAGCTGACCATATGCTAACAAAACAGAGATTTCAGGTTCACATATGACAATCATACAGATGTTACAGAATTAGTTCCAAAAAGTCACTTAAAAAAATTCCAACAACTGCAATCAGTAGCAGCAAAAACAAACCTTGGGGAGAGGACAAAATCTGGTGTCCAGAATTGCCACATTATAGTATTCAAAATGTCCAGTTTTCAACTAGAAATTATAAGGTATGCAAAGAAACAAGAAAGTATGGTTCATACACGGGGAGAAAGAAATCAGTAGAAACCATCCCGCAGGAAGTCCAGACTTGGGACTTTTTAGACAGACTCTGTGTGAGCAATTTAAAATGTGTCCAATGAGCTAAAGGAAACTACGTCTAAAGGACTAAAGGACAATGTCTCACCAGACTGAGAAAATTGACAGAGAGATAGAAAATATAAGAAAGAAACAAACGGAAGGTTTGGAGTTGAAAAGCACAATAACTGAAATGAAAAAGCCACTAAAGTAGCTCAGCCACAGAGTGAGGAACAGAAAGAGTCAGCAAATTTGAAGGTAGGTCACTTGAGATGATCCGTTCTGAGAAACAGAGAGAAAAAGGAATGAAGAAAAATGAACGGACCCTCAGATCCCTGTGGGACATCACGAAGTAAACCAAAATACGCATAATGGGAGTTCCAGAAGGAGAGAAGAGAAAGAGAGAGGAAGAAAGGATATTTGAAGAACAGTGGCTAAAACCTTCCCAAATTTGACAGGAAATATTTTTTTTCATATCTAGGAAGCTCAAAGAACTCAGAGATTCACCCATCGTAACCCAACCTTCAAAAGCTGAAGACAAAGTGAGACTCTTGTGAGCAGCAGAAATGAAGCACCATGCACAAACAATCCTGAGTAAGACAGCCGAGGACGTGTATTCAGTTTGCACCTTATTCCTAAAATATCTGATTTAAAAGATAATTGCATGAAATAATAATTATAAATCCAGGCTGATGGGCACACAGTGTATGAAGACACAGTTTGGATGACAGTGATGGCATAAAAGTAGGGGGTGGAGATACACAGGAGCAACATTTTTATGTACTATTGAAAATCAATGATATTAATCTAAACTAGCTTGTTACAAATTAAGATGTTAATTGTAATCTCTGGGGCAACCATGGGAAAGTAACTCAAAATGTACAGTAAAAGAAGTTACGTGAAATTAAAATGGTACAGCAGAAAATATCTATTTATCACAAGTGTGGGCAGTGATGGAGGAACTGAGAAACAAAGAAGACATACAGAAAACAAATAGCAAAACGGAAGTGAGTTCGTTCTTAAAAGTAATTATATTAAATGTAAATAGGTTAAAACTCTGCAATTAAAAGGCAGAGATTAGCAAACCAGATAAAATGACAGGATCCAATGATGTCTATCTACAACAGACAGAC